AATTTGCATGATCTTCCCCCGCCCTGCCGGCCGAATAAATGAGAGATTTCCTAGAATGCAAATCCAGCTTCGGTATGCGGTTATGGCCGCAATAAAAGTCGTTCGAGTAATCCCTGACACTTATGTCGAGGAAAGTAGTTTTTCCTCCCTCTCTCTTTCTCTCTCTCTCACTCTCGAGCAGGAGGAGAGGCATTTTCGCGGCTACGACGTTATGAAAATAATTGAAACCCCATCGCCTCTAATCGTCGACCAATAATGCGAAAATGCGAGCTTTTTCGAATGATCTTTTCACGCAGATTACAGATCTCGTTTGCATCCAGTTTGCATCTTTGGAATTATCATCGAAATGCCATCTAGGAAATTTTTCGAACCGGCCGAATGGTTATAGCATGGTTTCATTGCATTGAATGTCTGTGACAATTTAACAGTAATGGCAACGATAACGTTGGCTGAAAATTACCTGACGAATCAAAAGTTACAATTTTTTTTTCTTTCTTTTGTTTTGATTCAAGTTTTATTCTAGTTGGTAATATCGATATTAAAATCAGTGTTATTATTTTTTTAATATCGTTTCTTTGTATACAGTTACGTTGAGTTTTCTTTAAATTTTAATTAAATTAAAATAGATGAAATATTACGAAATAAAATACTTTAAATAAAATGTTAAACAGTTTATTATGTTCTTCAAGAACTTGTTCCAATGGATAAAATATTATACTTTCAAGATGTAATATTTACCATTCGAAATAATATTTTATCCGAGTTTTCAACATTCGAGAAAGAATTCGATAAAATTATTATTACATCTAAATTACATAAAATTATTTTTAAAATAAAATTTAAATGAAAATTAAACGCATTCTAATTTTATGATATACATTTTGAATTTAAATAAGTATCGTTAATATCGCGACAATTCGAGTAACAAGTATGATGTCAATTATGCTTGAAATTTTTTTCATTTAATACGAATGGCATTTAACGTATTCACAAGTTGCTTCGCAAATCTTGGGTCTTTTATCATTCCTCAAAGAAGCTGTTCATTATCGCAATTTCGTCTGCTTCACGCACAATTGTCGGGTAAGATTGCACTGAATACATTTACCGTTTCTTTAAACGCGGTGCACTTCTTTGCCTATTCTCTTGCATGAATTTCTCTCGAGACTTGCGACCCCGTAATTATATACCACTCGTCTTAAATATGTACTTTCAACGGTGCATATTTTGAGTAATGTTTCTTTAACGAGTTAATATCTACTAATTTCGTCTGCTAGATTTTTTCATCAATTTCTTTTCTCCTCTCTCGTTATTCGTTATTTCAATCCATACATTAAAAAAAAACGATAAATTTATCGTTAATTTATCACGTTCGCAATATTTACTTTCATAATCGAACGAACGAAAAACCATTTAATTTATAATTTTTTCTATTTATTACTGGCAATAATAACTTCGACAATTCTCTCTCTGTTGTTCACGCGTGGACGCGAGAATTGAAAAAATTCAATTTTCATCGAAAAATGTAGTTTCTCGTCAGCTGTTAAATTTGTTCGAAATAACTCGAAATATTCCAGCCTCGCGTTCTTTTTCCTTCGTTTCGAGCATATGCTCGAGCCGATACACAACCAGACGCTCCTATAATTTCAAGATTCATCGTACCGCAATCTTTATTTGCGCTCGAGGATAGTGTTCGATATTAAAAGAGAACGATTCATCCGGTTTTATCACTTGATGTATCGTACGTCAAGCTATAAATATTCCCGGAGATTTCGACCTCGGACTTTCGTAATCCTGAAATATACGAGGAAATAAATCGATTGGTCGTGCGCATTTTCGATGGTTCTCTGCGATTTAACGGACGCCAAGAATTGCGTTTTGCACGGGATGGGGAGGGGGAGGGGGGAGGAGGAAGGGGGAGAGGGAAGTAACGAATTGAATCTCTCAAATGGAAAATATATCTTCGTCGGCGCGGAAAGAATTCTGCTTTTTTTTTTTTTTTCTCCCCACCCATAACGGCGAAAAAGTCGTCCCTTTCGAAATTCTATCTGTTTTCTCTGTTATCTTAATTCGACAATTTGAAAGTTTGAAACTTTATGTTTGAAAAATTTGAATAGAATTTAACGAAGATCGAATAAAAATTTTTCGCAATTGTTCAAAGTCTTAAATATAAAAAAAGAAAATCCAGGCAATGCAAAATAGTAATCTAAAAGTAGTGTACAATTTCGGTAGAAAAAAAAGAAAATAGAAAAGTAATAAGAAACTCAATTTGAAAGTTTGAAACTTTATGTTTGAAAATTTGAATAGAATTTAACGAAGATCGAATAAAAATTTTTCGCAATTGTTCAAAGTCTTAAATATAAAAAAGAAAATCCAGGCAATACAAAATAGTAATCCAAAAGTAGTGTACAATTTCGATAGAAAAAAAAAAAGAAAAAAAGGAAAAGTAGCTCTGAAACGTTTCAAGCGTCCGCTCATAAAACTTGGAAATAAATAACGAAATTAGTTAGGCGAAATAAAATAGGGGGAGGGGGGGGATGATTTTGAACATTTGACCAAACGAAAGCGTAGCTCGCGTGACAGTAAATCTGTGGTTAGCTGAATCACTGTTACAAACCCCGTGGTTGCTGTTTGAATCGCCGGTATGCGCGGTATCGTAGAAATAGCTGCTAACTTGTTTTCGTGCCTTCCTTTTTATGCAAATGTTGCGAACCACGCCATCGAATTAACGAGGCACAATCGGGCAATTGGCTCTCCCCGATTTAATTTACTTCATACGTACATGTTTATCCTATTTTCGTTCGAATCCTTCTTTTTTTCCACAGATTATTAGAATCTTATATATTTTATGATCCTGCAACTGTTATCCGTCCGTCGTAAAACGAGCGATAAGATTCTTTATACTTTCAACGAAACAGAAGAAATTAAGTATGCAAATCCAAAATAGAAAAGTAATAAGAAACTCAATTTGAAAGTTTGAAACTTTATGTTTGAAAATTTGAATAGAATTTAACGAAGATCGAATAAAAATTTTTCGCAATTGTTCAAAGTCTTAAATATAAAAAAGAAAATCCAGGCAATACAAAATAGTAATCCAAAAGTAGTGTACAATTTCGATAGAAAAAAAAAAGAAAAAAAGGAAAAGTAGCTCTGAAACGTTTCAAGCGTCCGCTCATAAAACTTGGAAATAAATAACGAAATTAGTTAGGCGAAATAAAATAGGGGGAGGGGGGGATGATTTTGAACATTTGACCAAACGAAAGCGTAGCTCGCGTGACAGTAAATCTGTGGTTAGCTGAATCACTGTTACAAACCCCGTGGTTGCTGTTTGAATCGCCGGTATGCGCGGTATCGTAGAAATAGCTGCTAACTTGTTTTCGTGCCTTCCTTTTTATGCAAATGTTGCGAACCACGCCATCGAATTAACGAGGCACAATCGGGCAATTGGCTCTCCCCGATTTAATTTACTTCATACGTACATGTTTATCCTATTTTCGTTCGAATCCTGTTTTTTTTTCCACGGATTATTAGAATCTTATATATTTTATGATCCTGCAACTGTTATCCGTCCGTCGTAAAACGAGCGATAAGATTCTTTATACTTTCAACGAAACAGAAGAAATTAAGTATGCAAATCCATTACTCCCCAATTGTTTGAACACAACAATCACCATATTTATAAAATAAAACCAATTCTTCTTCTTAGTTGCAATTTCCTGTTCGATTCACGATGCCCACGAAATCAAAAACTTTTCTTACGTTTCATCCCCATAGGGGAAGACAAGTTCAATATTTCCTCTCTCTCTTTCTCTCCATCTCCATCCCTCATTACGCGGGCGGATTAAAACGTTATCAGAGTGCAGGCATTCGGTCGATGTCGATTCATAAATGCCGCGGCATTCTTTTTAACGCTTGGCTTCGCGGAACGATTCTCATACTCGAATCAATTTCCCTGGCGTCGGTTAATACCGAGCTTCCAAGCGGCCGCCGTATAATCGCGATCGATCCTTCGAAGGGGGTCCAGCTCACAGGTGAATCAGAATTTTACGACGGGGCTATCGGTTTCAATTATTGCGGCGCAGTCAGTTTCTCGCGAATTCGAACGATATCGGTGTTTGCCTCGCGCTTTCAATAATTCGTGATGTTGATCACCGGTCGATTAGTCGAGACTCCGCTCGAACCAGAAGGAAAGAGAGAGAGAGAGAGAGAGAAATTGAGCGTACACGCGGATACGTGAATAATAAAACCGATTAACAAGGGCTGATTATTTTTCAAGCATGGGGACGTCGATCATTTATGAAAAAGGAGAGGGGGTTGACGTAAAGTTTGCCGGTCGATTTTCACCGTTTCCATATTCAACGAACGAAGAATTTACATTTCACCTGTCAGGTGAACGTGTTACACGCGATTTCGCTTTGACGGGTGAACAGGGACACGGATTCTGATAAATGCGGAACGCTTAATCACCGAAACCGTGGAAACGGCGCGGCGAGGAAGTGGCCGTTTCGTAGACGTTTCTGGAAGGGTGGAAGGAGAATATTGTATCGTATTCGTTCGCTCGTTGCGTTTTTAATCCTTGGAAAATGTTTTATTTATCGGGGAATTACGAGGAGTAGTTTTCTTTTTAATTTCTTCTCGTTGGAAACGGTGTTTCGCACGAATGTTGCAGGTATAAATTATATATTGTTCGATAAACATTGTAAAAATGTTGCCCATTTTTGATGACAATAATTTCTCGTAAAATAACAACTGAAGTTTTAATCGCGATTTAGGAATATATTGTCCCCGCGAAAAAAGAATATTCGTTGAAATTTTATTGATATAATCCCATGTAGAATAAACGTGTAAAATATGTCGTACAAACGACATATCATCGGTTTTTCCTATATTTTTGATATTACTTTTGATAATATTGTTATTGTTATTAAAAATAACACTTCTAAATAATTTACTCGAAAAAGAAAAAAAGAGGGAGAGAGAAGAGAAGAAATAAAAATTCGTTTATAATTTATCGTTTTAACTTGAATCCCTGAGAAAATATTTTACTAGAAATTGCTTACTACCTGATTAACGATGAAAATTCAGAGAGATAATCCACAATTCAATGTTGAAAAACTTATTATACACACAAAACTCTATATTTGTTTAAATCGTGTTCAAATTTTTTTCACAAATCAGATTATCTCGCGCATTAATCACGAATTCTTTCTTCGAGAAACGAGTACAATATACACAATTTGTTTTTTGATACCCGGGTTGACTAAACTGTTGGAAAGTAATTTCCAGGCTGTAAAGGACTCGATGCTCGTGGACCTAGTGAAACGAGCAAAGTTCGAGGATGTTTCGAATTTCTTACTACAAGTCGCGGAAGAATTCGTGCCCTTTTTTCCCCTCCTCTTTTTGTCTTCTCACTTTAGCCTGCATCGTAGTTTATTTCAAAGACACGTATCCACGAGTTTTCTGAACAATGTACTCGCGGAAGTATTTCGGGCGGTAGTATCCGTGCCATCCATTGCGAGGATTTTCTTACGATCCAGTTGCCATTGGTATGTCGTATTGACCATCTTTATCCGACGATTTCTAGTAGGTAATCGTTTGTCACTACGTTCCCCTTCCGTATCGTGGGTCAACCTTTGAGCCAACCGGTCGAAATATTCGATGCTCGTTGAACAGAAGTATGTAATGTACACGGTATAATTATTTCTTTTATGCTTTATAGTTGTTTCTTGTAAAAAGGAGAAAAATATATATATATATATTAAGCTATTTATAGTCAAGATTTAATGTTCATTGTACGAAACACTGCGAGACATTTGAAAAATTATCTGTATACGATAGATGGAAAATCTCCTTTCTATTTTTATATTATCCAAAATTAATCGAATTTTAAAAAAAAATTTGCATCATCACATGTTTTATCGATGCAAAAATACAAAATTGTATAAAGAAAAAAAGAAAAAACTATATAAAAGATTCTCTTTGCGTTTTAAATTTCGCCCAATTTTCTCTCGATTGTTAATACAAAAATTGATTGGATACGGCGGATAAATGCGCGCAATTTCTCACGTTTTAACAACACGCCATTTCCCCTGTTTATCTATCTATTTCGCCCTGTCTATTGCGCGTACATGATCGCAATGACTTTTCCACGATTTTATCACACGATGGGATTTCGTGATTAAAAACTTCGCCATGTATTTTTCAGACACGATGTAGGCGTTGCGAAAATGAAAGAATTATGACGTACACACCACATTTCACTAATTTTTTCCCCCTCTATAGGGAGCCGCACATATGTACACAGGTTTAATGAACATTTAATTGCAACAGCACTTTGTTCCCCTTGCGTGACATGTTCGCGATCTGTTGCTCTTTTTTCACTTCCTCCTTTTTTTCTTTCTTTCTTTTTTTAATTGTCCAATTCACGCGAGTCTCGTAATAACAGAAATCTAAATTTCTGTAATTTTATTATTAATTTGAGAAGACATTCGCGTGTTCTATTTTTAAAAATTTTGTTCGCAAAAAAAAAAAAAAAGAAAAAATAAGGCGTATATTTCCACGGCGTGTATTTTTAAAAGACGATGATACCGAACACGGGAGTAGTGTTTCCAATAAAGATAAAACCATATCGGGCAGAGCTGACATTTTTATTTTAACTTTTTATACGCAGCGAATTCAAATGGAAAAGACAAACGATAGAATTTCAATGGAACGGTGCAGAATGTCAAGAAAAATATTCGAGCTTTAACATCTACGGGCGAAAATTTTTTGTTCAAATATCGATGCTTTATTATCGGGTCGAGAATCGAATTTTAATTGATTAAAAAATTGCTTGTTAAAAAAAAAATCATAAGTAACCAAAAAATAATCGACGAATCCATAAATGTCGCAATAAAATTCTTTTTTTTTTTTTTTTCCTTTTCGATCTCTCGTTTCGACAGCGTTCGGATAAATCGGTTTTCTCGCGAAACACATTCTCCTCGTGAAATCGAATTTTCGCGCGAAATCGACGCGAAACGATTCGATAAGTGTTAGACGTTTCGATTATAAGTTTAATCGGACGCGAGGAGATTTTTCGCAGGTCGTCGGATCGCATTCTGCTCGGGTAAAAAGATCCCGAGGCCGACTCTGCTCACTGCAAGACATTCCGCAGACTTTCGAGATAAAATAAAGAGGATCTTTCATCTCTTCGACTCCGTATAATCCTAGTTCATTTAGATTTCGGTTGTCGATGTCATGCACGCCGTTTTTCGATCAGCTCAAACTTTCGTCTCTCGCGACAACTCGTTGTGTCGATTATGCTTTGGCTACAGTGTTTACAGGTATGTTTGAGATGAAGATGAAGAATAAGTTATTTTCGAGAATGAAAATTTAGCATTGGATGAAACACGATTCTTGAGTCCTTCTTGTTGTACTTTCTAATTGTACTTGTACTTTAAGACGTCTCTTCTTTTTTTTTTTTTTGATCGATAATTGCTTAGATTCCTTTTCCAAAGAAATTTATTATTATTAACGTTTAACGTTAGACATTGGAGATTAGAGATACGATAAATTTAATAAAAAATGTTAATGGAATAAATGAAAAGTAATATTGGAGATTGATGAATAGAAGAAGTATCGTTTTTCAACGAGACAATGTTAGGCATTGGTGTATCGATGAAGGCGAAGCAAAAGAACATATTGGACCCTGGCCTGGAATATTCAACCCCATCCGTCCCATTCATCGTTCGGCTCTCATTTGTTTCCGTTTTTACATAACTTTCTTTGATAGCAAGATATTGAAAGCTGCGCAAGTTATTCGAAGGAATTTATTGCGGAATAACACGAAAGCCTCTTATGAAATACTGGTCATATAAAGCTGACTAATAAAATTGCATACAGGATTTCTATCGTATTAAAATATCAAATGAACCGGCGAAACGCATCGAGTTATTTTTTTTTTTTTTAATTAACACTCGTTCATATTTATCATATTTAAACGATTTCAATATCGCGCAATTAATGAACGTTCGCCACGGATTTATTCGCGGATAGATCACGTTTGATTATTTTCAAATTTGAATTAATGCTTTTAATAACGATGTTAAATTAATCGTAATAACAGAAATCATCCAAATCCTCATGAAAATCTCAAAGTTGCGCCCTATAAAATGTATCGCTAATCCGTTTTACCGATTTTTTCTCTCCGTGCGGATAACTGGCAAATCAAATAGCCGTGTTCTTGCAGTTACGGGAAGGATTAATCGAGGTATCGCGGATAATTAGTTTGGGTCGGGTTCCGTATTTAACTTCTCTGATATAGGAAACGTTTGACTCGCCAACGAGGAAATAGGTAGCTCATTAAAGAAGAGGGAGGGGGTGCGACGGGGTGGTTGCGAGGGAAGGCGAATGAAACGGGTGCCGTTTAAGTTCGTTATACTCGCTTTCTACAAAATTGTACGGTTTAAAGAGCGCGTTTAATCTTTTTCGATACGTGCGCCTGACAGATTCGTTCGCTCACTCAGCAATTCGCTTCTCGATATATATATATATACATATATCCCTTGAATGACTAAAATCATCCTTTCTGATTCCTCGGGAATCGAATTTCACAATTTCGCGAATACAAATAGGGAGCAGGAAGCGAGACACGTGATAAATAATAATTGGCAAGAGCTATAACGGAGTCATAATTTCATCCCATTCACCGGGAGAGAAACGAAATTTCACACTACTTGCCGACCAAACAGTCTGGCGCGGTCTCCACCTCGGCGTCTCTCCTCAACTTAAATTGCTATTTAACCATCGCACCTACAGGAATTCCGGGTAACTCGATTCCCAACGGTATTCGGGCAACAACTAAATCGATCGCCTTCGTATTGAACGGAGGAAAGAGATCGATTCCATTTTCGCGGATATGGCACAAGCTCTCTCCTCTCTCTCTCTCTCTCTCTCTCTCTACTACGTACGTACGACGTACG